CCTCCCCCTCTCGATCCTTTCCAAACCAATCATCATGCCCCCCCTCCCCCTTTCTACCGTCCTACCGGCGAAACCTCTTCTCGGGGATGATATCGCAACCACGCTTTTCTTTCGGCAACCCTTACCACCACCAGCGGTGTGCACACACACACACACACACACACAATACAAATGGCCCGTGCTGCAGTGCCCGGCCTGCCTGCCTGTCCGTCTTTCCTCGCCTGCACAAATTACCCCCTCGCCCCTCTCCCCCGTCCTCCGCTTGTCCCTACCACTCATTCATTTATCCCCCTCCCCTCTCCGTCACTGCTCGCGGTATCCGCGGCACGGCGCTGAGCTCGCCACCCCAGCGCTCGCGGCCAGAGCCCAAGCACAAAGGCACGGTGTATGTAGCGAGAGCAGCGCACGGAGCGGTGGTGGTGCGGCCGGCCGGGCAGCCGGTACTGTTGCCATGCAAGCTCCATCCATCGCATGCCGTTTTTTTTGCCGCCGTTCTGCCGAGGCTCAAGTCGCGGCGAAATTGACCCTCGCCATGCGAAAAATGCGCTCTCTTCATTTGCTGAATGTTCGCAACGACGAGCAGCCTGCTGCAGCGCGGCAGTGTCCCAACGATTAACATTGCGAAAATTGTACTTTTAATTTTGACTTTTCTTCGTGTCCTTTTTTGCGGGGGTGGGGCGGGGCGGGGCGGTTGTGCTGGTGTGTAACGAGCTGCCTCAAAGGCCCAACATCCTGAATGGACTAAGTATACCCTTCATTTGGCAGTGGGGTGGGGCGGCGGGTGGGTGCGCGCTCGTGTGCGGTGCTTCGCGGTTGCCAAGGGATGACAGGCTGACGGACCGCTCTAGGTGCAGTCGGCCTGTGCCGTGAGTCCCCGCGGCGCCTTGCCTCGCCTCTCCTCGCGGCCGCGGCTCTCGTGGCCAGGCTCGGCCCCCTCCCCCGAGGCACTCTAGGCCCGCGGGTAGTACCGGCCGCGGTCAGCAGTTAAGTCCGGTATAACGTGTATGTGCAACAGAGAGAAATGGTTTCTTTCCTGGAAAGTTAAATGTGTGGCTGTGTTGTTGGTGCACGTGCCCTGCACGCTTCTAGCAGTTTTGATTCTCAGTAAGAACAACATGAAGCGTTCTCTTTGCCTTTCTAGGCGCAGGGAGGTACTCGAAGGCTCGTTTTTATACCTTTTTTACCAGCTTCAATAATGCAGTTATGAGGTGAGGGTTTGGAAACACTGTACAACAGGATTCATTGTTTA